AGCTAAATCATTCAGTTTGTCTTCGTCACGCTGAAAGCGGACAACCTTTTCTATTTCCAACTCTAAATGAATAGATAAGAGATTTTGGGTTGGATGAAGAGCTCGCTACTGCAACAAAACAAATGTCTAGGATCTTGAGCAAACGCTTTATTTGGATACGATAAAATAAGTGCAAAAACACTAGACTAAATGTATTGAGCTAAAAGGAGACTAAGTTAAGAAATTAAACCAATTTTTTTCAAAAAAAAAATAAGACAAAAATATTTGGATGAGGGTCTGAAACTTCGGCTCTACACTGCATATATTTCAATATGAAAAGTCCACATTCACACGTTCTGGCAGTTGCTATACATATATTTTAAAGACATCCAACATTTCAAGTCCAAGTGCAAGAAAAACCAAAAAACACAAATGCGTAAGAAATGCAACGCACAAATGCGAGTACAAAAAAACCAGGCTACATACATACATACATATGTAGCTGCATGTCTATGTACATAATTTAGTAGCAACAGCAATCGACAATACAAGCAATGTTGCAAGCAATTCAAAAACGTGTTGAACGACAGCAACATAACATTAATTACACAAACGCTATTAAATGCATATTTATGAGTTGCGTTGCTGTTGCTGTTGCTGCTGCTTGCCATGTTTCCATGGCCAAGCGTCAAGCAGCGTACAAGTACAAGTTTAGTCAAATATACATACATATATTTACATGACACTGAAAAAATGTAATATTTGTATAAATTTACACTAACTGCCTGCCAGATGAGCTAACAGCGAAGTGAGTTGCAACAGCGAAGAGGCAGAAGTCGGCTGAAAATAGTAGTCACACTGGCAATGTTGCGGTTGCCCGCATTTGCGTTTGCGCCACTGACCACTAAAACCATAAACCTTTGGCGCTGTCACCGCCGCGGCACATTTGTACACACACGCACAAGCGTACACCTCACCTAACATACATAGATACTATTTCCGAACACCTCATCTTGTCAAGAGCAAGCTGGCCGCCGCGCGGCTACTCCGCCGCAAGTTTGTCTGCGAGTCATTATTAGTTTGTTGTACATACTACGTGCCTCATAGAAACCTAAGTGCCGCCTAAGTGCGTAAGGCGCAATATGACGAGTATGTATGCATATATCGCACACGATCTTCAAAAGTGACACAACTTAAAATTTCACATTTTTGAAACAATGCACTAAAAATGTACACAAAGCTTTGGGTTAGCTTTCAACAAAAGCTGGAGCAAATTTTTGTTGTAATTTGTTGAAAAAAAACCTAAGTTAAAGTCTTGCTTGCCCCTATGATTAGCATGTTTTTAAAGTAGTTTTCCGCATTTTCTGACGCACATGTAATTTTGAGTTGTGTCACCTTTGAAGATCGTGTGCTATATGCTCTTGTATGTACTCATATAACGTACACATATGTATGTATATTTACTTGCGTTGAATGGTACTTGTACGTGTGCTTTTGTTTGTGGTCGTATTTGTTATTAGTCATTGTACGGAGCGTATGCAAAGTTTCTATGCATGCACGCATGCGCCTAAGTGCTCTGTGCTAACTGCAAGGCAATTGAGTCGAGCAACAGCAAAATTATGGCCGTAAGGCTCACCTTATCATTGAAGTGCGTTTTTAACACCAATTGAAACAATTATATGCAAGTGTACGATTTTATATATACACATGTGTACATTAGACCATACCACCCAACAAACAAACAAAAAATGTTCGCTGTACACTCCTGTGCCTAAAATAATTTAGCGTTGGGATTAACAAAAAAAAAAAAAATATTTTGTTTTGGTCGAACCTAGAGGTGGCCTCTTTAAATTTTTCGGTAACACCTACATACATTCGGAAATAAACTTTTTTTTTTTTTTTCTACTGGAATAAACGATTTGATGGCTTCAAGTCGGTGTGTTAGGGTGATAAGGATTGAGATTTGGTGGGTAATTACTTGAGATCCATGAAATTTTGAACAAAAAAATTATCATCCTGAAAATGCTGGAGATATGACGAAATATGTAAAAAAGGCATTCGGCAAAAAAAAGTTCGAAATTACCTTGCAAAAACACTTCAGGTGTACGAAAGACTCTTTTCTGGCACAGCCTAATTTACATACTACAATGAAAGCTCGGTCTAACGAAGTTGAAGGGGTTGCATAAATACTTCCACATACCTATAATTTCGTTATATTTATAGAATATCGTGTTCTCGATACAACGAAATATGCGAAATTTTAAAATAAATTGTTATATGTCAAGTAACGTGATTTTTATAACGGTACTTTACGCGACAACATATTAATAATTCGTTATATAGAGGCTTTTGAGTCGACACTTCTTTATAAGAGGCTTTTCTTCGGTATATATATCTATGGAGCATTTTTGTACTTTGTATTTCGCGACAACGAGGTGATTTCAGGGGACTCAACCAAAGTTTGGTTAAATTGAGCAGGCGTAGCTCAATTGGCTCAGAACAACATCACTGTCGCTCACTAACAAAAACCACAGGATTCGTGGGCAAAAATCGATCGACCATCATTCACTGCAGCCTCGCGTAGGCTCGCATTGGTTCAGCTGTATGTTTGGGGTTTAAATATTTTTTGCAATACCCAGAAAACTGTTGTTGTAGTTGGTATTGGCGTTGTTGTCTTTAGGCTCAATACCTTCAATTTGTTGAGCACCCCTGATATTGAGTACTTATTTCGGTTTTTCAGGGTTCGTTATATCGAGGTTTCACTGGTTATGCTTTGGGATGTACAGCAGGGGTCGGCAAAAGTGAAACTGTGACTGTGTTGGTGAGCACAAAGTAAATCAGCAACCCTGTAGGAAATGGGGTGAATCAAAACGAAAAAGTTGTTGTAAAAACTTATAAAAATATTTCACGTATCGCTTCATAACTCAAAAAAGCGAAACTCGGAAAAACCTGTTTGTTGATTAAACCATTTTTTGTCCACTACCGGCCACAATATCATTGCATCGAAATTGTTTTAAAACCAGTCAACCGAGAAGGCAGTCCGGTTTTGGTTTAGTTCTGCACGAGAACAACATGTAATGTCAAGAACCTTCCCGAAAAAGAACAGAATGAGAACAAAAGTGTTTAGAGCAGTTTGAACAGGAACAAAATGAGAACAAAAGATACGGGAACGTTTACGTAAAGAACAAAATGTGAACAAAACTCTCGGAAACGATCTCGAAAATAACAGAACAAACTCTCAACAACGTTCTCATGAAGACGATAATGAGAACGAAATTTTCGGGACGTTTGCAATGAGAATGAAAGTATCGAGAACTTTTCAAGGAGGGTCTAATAAGAACCAGAAGTCGGTGAACGTTCTGCTAGAGAAGAAAAGGAGAGCAAAAGTTTTGAGAACTTAACGTTAAGAATGAGAGGTCCGTCTGTGTGTTGGGTTGAAAAATCGTTTCAGTGAGAATTACGATTGTTAATTCTAAGGCAGAGAAAAGCTGGATCATTTGAACCTCCAGATCGTTTATCATTAGGGTGAACTGTCCATTTATTGAACAATATTTCATTTTCGGTGCAAGAAAAGTTCGTGTCTTAAGTCCTTCCTTGACTTAATTTGCGTAATTAACTTTCACCGCCGGTTTCACCAGCAATTGAAATGGAAAATAATTTCTTATTATCTGTCAATTTTCATATAAAGATCAAAAAATTATAATCATTTTTCCCTTAAATTGCTTTCGTGAAATTGGCTGTCAATCCTTTTTTGATTGATTATAATATTCAAACATTTCAAAATAATGCAACGCTATGAGAAAAATTTAGTTCTCGCTTCTAATCTTCGCGTATCGTTCTCTGTCACAAAGTTTCTGCTTCTTAAGTTCTCAAATTGTTGTTCGAGAGAAAGTTTCTCAGGCTTTTGTTGCCGTCAAATTCTTTGTCAGAACGTTCCGGATACTTTTGTTCCCATTTTATTCGCTAGAAAATTTCCCGAACGTATTGTCCGCATTTTGATTTCTTTGGAGACGTTTTGTTCCTATATAATTCCCGAAAATGTCGACGGAATTATTCTACTGATAGCACTTGGACCTATTGCGTATTACTGCTAGCAGTTGATACTCTGGCAACACCATTATTTCAGTACTGGCACGGTTTAAAAATAAATATAAGGAACACTTACAAAACTAAAGAAAAAAAAATATATATCTTCACATTCAGAAACCAGCGATATGACAAACATTTCGTGACAGGAGAAAAAACTCGATTGTCGCATTCCATACAACCAATAGCTGTCTTAACTGACCATAACTTGTTGCGACTAGGACGTTGCCCATTAGCAACCGCCTGCCATGTGAGCGTGTGTATGTGTGTGTGTGTGTGCGCGCTGTGAACGTGCAACAAATCACTAAACAAGCAACTAAACAACATCAATGAGCCTAAAATAAACCAAGATGCCCAAACAGCAAATGACAAACGGCCTGCAGCTAAGAGCCAACGGCCAATAAATAGGTAGGCGAATGAACAACGCGACCAACGGACAACTTGCAACATGCCATGGCAGCAGGCTCTGGTGTAAGCGGCCAGCAAATGCACCGAATGAGTACTTTAGAGTACAATTACCCAATATGCCACAGAGCGAAGACGAGTTTGAATCGACGTCGTTACGACGTCGGTCTGGTGAAATCGTTTGGGTGTTTCGGAAACGACGTCAAATCGAATTCCTTTTTTCAGAAATTTGTACTCTATTACACTAAAATTTAGTGAGCTATATTTTTTCTTTTAATTCAAATTGAAGAGTTTGAAACTTTTGGGAATGCTTGCTGATTTGTTTTTTTTAAATATTACACATAATTTAAAATGTGATTTTGTATGGTTTTTGCTTTTCATCCGACGGCGAGTTCGCCAGAATGAGTGGAAAACGACGTTGTTACGAAGTCGTTTGGCAAATTGGGTATTCGTACATACACACATGTGTGTATAAATGTAAGTTTATTTGCCGGTATGTAGTACATTGAATGTGGCATTACAAAACTCACCTGTCCAGGAATGGTGTGGCCGAGCTGGAATCCGAACTGGAGACATAACTGTGATAACCCTCCGATTGTGCATACGACGATTGCTTTTGATGATGGAACAACATCGCTGGCTGATCGTAATAGGATGAGGCGCGTATGTTGTACTCTTCGAGGCCGGCCTGTGTGAGGCTGCACTGATCGCTCATGTCATCCTGTAAATGGGCAAAGGAAAAGAAGTAGAGAATAATAATAAGTATAAGAAGCAAAATAAATATAGATTGCAGTCGAGTAAATAGTTAAGTGCTTGTGAGCGGGTTAAAGATTGATTGAGTTGGTGGCAAGTGGTTTGGTTTGCTATGAATACGCATGAAAGGCGTGTGTATGTGTGTATGTGTATGTGTTAAGATTATGTTGCACGTAGCACTTATAAACTAAAGTGGCAGCTACAAGCAGTTAACCGGCTAACTGGATTGTTATTGTATGTCCGTCCCAACAACGTATGTATGTATGTATGTATGGACATCGCTTCATTTGTGCGTTTATTCTGCTGCCGTTGTGGCAAATGTTGCAGCAGCAGCAAAAACAAAAACTAATAAAATGCGTGTTAGAGAATAAATAAACAAAATGAATGGGGAAAAAAGAATGTTGGTTGCAAACAGCAGCTATTTACAACAATAATTATAACACATTGCTATAACCGCTATACTAACATACACACATACACCTATGTATGTATGTATATTGTAGCGGAAGGAGTGCCTGCCAACGCAATGAGTCGTAGAAATTGTTCGCATCAGTGGCAATGCCCAAACTTATTGGGTTAGCTTGGCTGAAATAATACGCAACGCATATGACAACAAAAAAAAAAAAACCACAACAACGAAGAACCATTGCATAACGCTACGCAGCGGCGCAGCGCACAGTGGAACAGCTCCAAATAAAATGTGGGCAAAAAGTAGTAAATGTGCTCCGATTTTGCTGAAAATTGTAACGTGTAGTACTTTTGTGTAGGATTGAATAAATATGAAAAATTGTTGAATTGAGCAGACTGCCACGCCCACTGCACTAGGGGCGGATATGGTAAATTTTCTCCGAGATCAATGAAATTCGTTTTGTGACTTAGATTAACTTAGTGAGGAAGACAAAAATCTGAGAGATGATAAAAATCGGTCAACTGCAACGCCCACCACCCATCCGAATTCTGGATACTAATGTTGCAAGGACTATCCTTCAAAATAGCAAAAATTTGGCGCAAGATCTATTTTTGCATAAAAAACGCAGAAATATAAACAATTTTGTGGTTTGGCGACCTCAACATTTGAAAGCACGTTTACATGTCTGGCTGTAGCTGAGTGCGCAAATATGCTTGCTACAATTTGTTGATTTCCGGAGGATCAGTGTTAGAATTTCATTGCAGGCAACATGCAAATTAAATATACGTATTTTTTTCAAGTGCAAAACGCCATTCATGAAGTGCAAAATCCTTCATTTTTATATGTATGTGCCACCATACAGTACTTTCATTGACATTTTTATTAAGATTAAATTTTTTTTTCAATTTCACTACTTTTTCCCTCAGTGTAGACCTTTTTAGAATCGAGTCAACCACTTCTAAGTTGGATATTTCCACGCATTTCGTAATAAGGACTTTCTGCCACTCTCAGACCACTGTGTGGCGGCATGAGCGCGACGACAATGATGACGCTGCCAATATTGATGCAGATTCAAGTGTCAAGATCGCTTAGTCGCGCTGCTGTTCTTTCTTTCTTTCATTTTCTTATTGCTACCACGCACCTTCAGACACGCCAGCATGGCAACTTGGCTTCCGTTGTTCAAAGATGGCTAACCGTTGCTTGGTCGCCCCAGCCTCAGCAGCAGTCAACGCCATTGCCGGTCGGTCAGTAGTGCGTAATCGTGCTTCGTTGCCCATCAATTTGTTGCTGCTTTTGCTTTTGTCGCCTTTACTTAGTGCCGTTGGTGTTTTGTTTTTTTTTTGTTGGTCACATCGTCCAACACATAAACGGTTTTATGCGCACTTGAAATTCTTGCAACATACCTCAAACCATAAGCAGCTAGAATAACATAGAGTAATGGCTACTGGCAAGCAACAAAAGTGCAGCAACAACATAGCAAGCGTAGGAAAGAAAAGATTGCAACTTGGAAGCTCTGTGTACTTTTTTATAATTTTTCTTGTTATTATTTGCTTTTTTTATTGTTATTCTTGGCACCATTGATTTTGTTGTTATTTTGCTTTCTGGCTTAACATAATACGAGTACTCTACATACATTGTTGCTGGCCGTATGTGTGTGTGTGTACGTCCTAAGTGCTACCAGTAGCCGTTAGAAATAAATTACTGCATTGTTGCACATCGTTCTTCACATAACTTTGTACTTGTATGTATGTATTTATGTATGAACACTCCGACGCAGGTAATAATTGTGCATTTGCCACATTACGGAAAATCCGCACCGCTTGCCAAACAGCTGATTAATCACTAATGATCCGCGTTCAAATGATTGCTTGATTGACCACAGGAGAAGCGTAGCTAAAGCCGATTAACGCTGTTGCAACCATACTTCAAAGAATACGAGTACCTCAGCTGCGTTTGCTCTTCCTGTACCGATGACTACTGACATTGCTGTGTTGCAACATGCTGATGCAACAAATTAACGCCAAGTCATATGTATATAGAACAACAGCAAGCGTAACTTCCTCAGCACAGCGCGCTAAATCATGACAATAAAAGTAACAGCAATGCTAAACAACAACAAGCTGTTTCCAGTACATGACCTGGCAAATGAAAAGCAACAGAGCATCACAGTGACTAAAAAGTGCCTTTGGAAAAAATTTAAATCAAAGCTACAATAATATTGAAACGGATGATAAACACCACAGCAATGACTGTTAACAATTTGTCATGCTCTTCAGCTTATTGTCAGCTGTTGTCGATGCTATGACAAGAACAACAGCCATACTGGCAACACATACATAACTCGTCGGACGTTCGCTTATGTACCATAAAGCAAGCCAACACATTAGCAATGGCCAACGGTCAGCTTTTCCAGCTGCCTGTACCGCAGAACCACGACGCAGCCAGAGGAAGCGACTAAGCGACTGAAGCCGCGACTTTACCGCAATCAAGCAATGAAGTGTGAAAAAAATAAGAGGAAAACTTGATTGTTATAATAAAAATTGAAGAAGAAGATAAAGAAAAATATGAAAATCAGCAACGCAGCTGCCGCTTCGAAGAGGCATAAAAGAATAAACAGTTATTTATTGGAGTCGTTTTAGTGGTTTTTCTGTTAAATTTTTTATGTAAGTAAGTAATTTTTTTTTTTTTTTGATAGGTCAGCTTATGCAATTGTGTGTGGCAAAGGGTAATAAAAATGAGTTATGATCGATATGCAGCACAAATTGATCGTTCATTAGTGGACCTTGAACTCAGTGTTATAAATAAATGTGTAAGCGTGTAGATATGTATGTAGGTATGTACGTGTGCATGTTTAGGGCCTGCATCTAAATCGTTAATGCATTCGACCATCGATTTTTATACCCAATGCATATATGCTCTTTTGTATTGACGGAAAGGAAATTTAACCAGAGTCCGTCCGAATATGGCTTTTATAATAAAAAGTAAAAAATTTTATATCGACTCTTGAGTAAAAGATCGACCTATCTTGGCAGCCAGGTCGAAAACGCCCTACTTCAGAATTTGATTGAAGAACGCCCTATTTCAGAATTCGGTTCAAAAATGCCCTATCCCACTTGAAACTCTATTGAAAATGTGCTGAGATAGGGCGTTCTTCAATCAAATCTTGAGATAGAGGTTCTTGAAAAGTTTCTTGAGATAGGGCGTTTTCGAACTGGCTGCCGAGATTGATCGATCTTCCACTCAGGTGCCAATATGTTTTTGAACGAAAATAGAAACAAAACTACTTCCAAACCAAAAAGAAAAAAATGTGTAAACTTTTGACTTATATTCTTTGGGCAAGAAATACTTGTAATTTTTTTGTAAAGGCAAAAGTTAGTATTTTTCTCGAACAATAGCTTCTTCTTAAGCTTTCATTAAATAAAAGGGATTTGAATGTACTGTCGGTACTGAAAATCCATAGAAGTCGAGAAAAATCCAGAAAAAACAAACACGAGGTATTCCGAGAACTTCCGAAAAAATCAAAAATTTTCTGAAAAATCCCATAAAGCTAAGCAGGACCAATCTTAAAAGAAAAAGTTCCGGAAGTTCCTTCCAAACGGAACACAAAGAATCCCGAAAGTCCTAAAATAAAATCCAAAAGCTCCCGAAAAATGTATAAAACGCAAAAAATGGGTTTATCCCGAAAAAAAACCAGAAAATGCCGAAGAAGTCCCTTGAAATCCAGAAAAAATTCGAAAAAGCCACAGAATATCAGAAATCCTAATAGTTCCCAAAAAAAAAATCTCGAAAATTTCCGGAAAATGCAAGAATACGGTAGGAAAGTAGGAGTTAACTGGATTGAAAGATCGCAAAAAAATTTTGAAAATCAAAAAATTTCGGTGGAAGTTAGAATTAAGTTTGGCGTAGTAACATTAAAAACCTATATTTTAAGATCTGCTTTCAATAAAAAGTTCGTGTTCATTTATTCGACATTTCAGGTCTAACGCAATAAAAATTTAAGTTTGATGCATTGGGTATAAAATGTTCGTTCCCACTTAAATGCTTACAGAGACACTTACCTATATTACCTATTTGGTTTAGTACTCATTTAACGTAAACCTTTTTGATTGTTGCATTGCATTTTCAATGCAGTTCATTGGGTTTACTAATGTATACATATGTACATATGTACAGCACTCCAAGATTGGATTAAACTACATACATTTTTTTTTAGGATTACTTTATTTATAGCTGTGAAATTCAATTCAAATAACGGTTGCTATATTTACGACTGAAATAAAGCCGATGCTAAAGTTCAATTCGATTAAAATCTCTGGTGGCCCACCCGGGTAAATCGTAGATTATTAGTTTTGTATGCATATATGTATTAGTGTGTATTTGTTGGCTTGCCTGCCTGCATTTAGTCTCTTTTTGGATGTAACCTCCCTCCTCTGCTGATCAGTCATTTATTTAATTTAACAATGCAGTTACAAAACTGTGGCAATCAGCATAAATAAATAACCGACTGATTTTATTGGCAAATGAGTGTACAACGGAGTGTGTATGTAATTAAAATAGTTAAGACTTAA